TTTGTTGTATGTATACCTTGCCATTCATGCTTGCCCCAAACATGGCTTTCGGTCTTTTTACTGCATTGAGAAAGAAATAGGTCATCTCTATCTGAGAGAAAACAGATCATTCCAAATCTTTCCTTCCAGTGAGTGTTCAACCTTATGTTAAAAAGCCTTACTGCAAAAGTTTTCATTGTTTACAAAGGTCTGGGAAGCCAGCTTTCTCACACATGAGCTTCATCTCTGTTGTAACAGTGCTGAGGAAGACATGAGGATAGTGTTGATTCAGTTGTAGAACTGTCTTCTCATTGACTTGATCACATCTGACAAGTCCTAAAACAATCATGCAAACACAAAAATCAACAATGTAAGTAATGTTGAACTCCCACACTGCCATTTAACAAACTACTCCTCACAACTGCAATGATAATATAAGGTAGCCTTCCTTCTTTACATCCCACATACAGAGATCCTTATCGTTGCCTGACAGATATCAGTTTTGAAAATTATCCTATTGAATGACTTTATAAAGAAAAAATTAAAAAAAAAGCCCAAGTAACATAATGGACAAGAGTGCATTAACTGTTTCTTGTTCCAACTGCTACATTGTCTCTTACAGACATTTGCAAGGCCATAATATACAAAATGCAGTCAACAAGTTTTCTCTTATAAAGACGGAACAATTATGCTTCAAAACAGGTTACCCTTTATAGCTTCAGAGTCTGTCAAACCCATGCAAAAAACATTTCTGGAAAATCTTGCCAAATACTCTTGATGTCCATCAACATGAGTCAAAACTTCAATGGCACTTGCAGACTTCTAGACTAAAGAGGAAACTTTACCAGGCATTGGTAGTGTTACACACCTAAATGTTTAAGGTGAGGACATCCTTTTAAGACAGTTTTGACTCCTTCATCTGTAATCTTTTTGCACCAACTTATGTCCAATCTCTCCAGGTTACAAGTGTGATAAGTGAAGGCCTTCAATCCTAAATGATAGAATTACAAACAAGCTTGGTGAATAATTGATGTGACCAAATAGTTACTATGGCAGGATACATCCTGGGTCTGAAGGTTTGTCATTCCTGTGTGGTCTTCCCTTTTGAAGTCTCACTGCGAAAAATGTGTTTCTTTGAAACTGTCACATCACGTACAATGTTACAGCTGTACTTATTTAAAACATGAAACTTAATATGTAATTTCAAACAAGTGTCAGGGATTACATTTTCATCTACAAAATTTGTCAATTATTTGTTACTGCTATTTCTCCTTACAATATCACCCCTAAATTACGTATTAAGGTTACAAGAATAAATTAAATGATCACCAAGTTAAGATGCTCTTGATTGTTGAACAAATTCTCCTTTTCAGTGCTAAGGAAATGTATAGTAAATGGTATGGAGAATATGCATACTGATGTTAGGGTGTAAAGGGTTAAACTACTCACCATCATCAGTAATTTCACAGTGCACCAGGTACAATCCTCTTAAAGAAGCACAATTTGAAAGAATATACTCTAAAGATGAATCTGTCACATTAGTGCACAGACTTAAGTTTAGGACTTTAAGATATTTGCAACCAAACACTACTTCCTTCACCACATCATCAGTGAGACTTGAAAAACAACGGAGATCCAAAACAGACATATTCCTACAGTATTGTGAAATGTGGAGTGCTGTCTTCGAAGTAATTGTACAGGAGTTAAGATGAAGTCTTTCAAGCAGTGGACATCTTTGCACAAGTTCACAGACCCCAGCATCTTCACATTTACTGTTGTACTCTACAGAAATGCTTTTAATTTTTGGACAATTTTGTGCAACTGCAAAAAGGCTTTCACAAGTAAGGGAGCGGCACTGGTCCATAGTGAGTTTCTCTAATTTGACACAACCTTGACAAAGCTGAAAAAATAAAAACAGTAATAACCGGAATGTAATAAAACTTTGAACTCCTAAAATTGCATTTAACTGGGGTCAATGAACAAAGAGAAATAATTTGTGCGCAAAATGTGAAATTAAACTCACCTCTTTGACTCCACAGTCTGTCACACGACACAAGCTTATGTCCAAAAACTTAATGTTCTGACAACTCTGTCCAATTTCAGTGAGGCATTTATCAGTCACGGCCGAGCACCTTACAACAGATAGTTCGACTAAATACCGACACTGTTGCAGAGCCTTGATCAAACCCTCTTCAGAGATGTTAGCACATTCTGAAACATCTAAAACAGTAGCAGTCGATCCATAGTTTGTTAATCGAACAAGAACTTCATCGTCCACCTTTTGCCTTTTCGGGAGCTTCAGTATTCTCCAAAGGCTTGGATCAAGAGTTGAATTATACCAACGCTTACAAACACAAGAAGCTCGGCCCAAATCTTTCACATCTAAATAAGACATGATACTCAAGAGCACAACTTGAGGCAGGCTGTTCATATCCATTGGCGAGGCGTTCAGTCCTTGTCTCGTCTCCTTCTGACCACAGTTTGAAGAATTTAAGTTCAAGCCATTTTCCATATTTTTATGCATTTAGTACAATATTAACAAACGAAAGGCTTGAAATCCAGCGACGAAGTCCATAAATTACTTTGGAATATGCACGGATTTCCTTGGAAGGTCGTAAAGGACTAGGTTCCATTAACTTATCATGTATCCTACATGTAAATTCCACGGTGCGGAAACTCATTTTAGTCTGGATAACTACGAAAGGCATAGTCCTCTTTCCAAGTGAATAAAAACTGACTTGAATATAACTTATTGTGCGTGAGCATTTCTTCACATTTTTCAGAATCTTTCATAAGCTGTGAGAAGAATTGATTTTAAAACATTTCAAGTTAGGACGCAAAATGTAGCATACATAACAATTTACTCCAAACTCGAAAACTCGAGAGCAAGTCCCAGTTTCCTGTAACCCACGCCAACGCCAACAGGCAACATGGCAGCGTTCTTTAAATTTACCTCCAAAACCATTTCCTCAAACGGGCAGCTGAAGTCTCTGGTGAGAACATTTGTTATTCTAAACGTCGGAACGATCGATAGAGAAATTTTTCATTGCTATGATCATGAATGGCCATTGTTCTTTCTCTCTCTCTTTTCTTAACATGTGAAATCGTAATCTGGATAAAATTTCCGCACAGCCCCATACTATTGTAAAACAAATCTGTTTCCCAGTGGTGATGTATTGTTTTTGTCATTGTTTTCTCTATCCAAGAACTGAATGCATAATGTAGTATGGGGCTGTGAGGAAATTTTTACCAAGTTAGCCATTGGAAAAATGTTTTAAGGTGGGCAATATTGCATTGCATCTTTCCATATTAGATGAAACTTTCAAATGTTTTTCTGCTTGTATCTGTTAGTCTACAAAACTTAAGGAGCACATTGTTCCTTAGACATAATTATATATTGAAATGTGGCCTGACCTTTTCTACTCCACAATTTAACAGTTTTTCCAAGGCTCATCTCCACTGTTTGCTCAAACAAAACAAATTTGGAATACACACTTGCTTGGTAGGTACAGATTTTTTTACTAGAGTAGAGAAACCTCAACTCAATTTTCCTGCTATAATTAAACTGTAACCATGAAATTCATAATATCAAGCTGTGGGTATTTTGTTACAAATTGATGTTACTGGTGCTCGGGGGGAAAAAAGAGCCCACAAAGACAAAGATTAATGAGACTGCTAGCATTAGGGACATATGGTTTGTGGTTTTCTGGTGTTCTCTCATATCTTGACCTTTAGTACAGTATTTTGTACCACTCCAGCAACACTCCCCAGATAAACAAACAAATAAACAAATACTTTATTTATTGAGGGTGAAATACATTATTACCAGTAGCCTGGTAATTTTCATAATGGCCCCCAGCAAAAACAGAACACAAAAACAAAAACATATCACATACAAGAATCATACTAATCCTACCAATTATTACACTTCTAACTAAATTATTAAAATTTATTATAAAAATCAAAAACTCTTACTAATCTTAAAATGTTCCAGTGAAGAGTTTTCTTTGATAAAATCATTCTGTAGCATTTTTCTGAAATTTGAGTGGGAAATTATGTTTCTGTATGAGTTACCTAGATTATTCCATAGACAACATGCACTTGAGAGGGAAGACCTGAGCCCTGAGTTTCTAAGATAACCATATGTAGACCTAACAAGAGTAGAAAAGTCATGTTGTGATTTTTTAACTTTCATTGACAGTTATGTATTGTTTATATGTCAACTTTCAGGAACAAATCTGTTGTCAGGATGCAACTCAGTTACTCCCTCACCATTCCTTCTTGGCTCAATTCAGAAAAGAAATATTACCTTACTTACCACATTCAAAGTTGTTGATAACAGTACTCTTGGGAAAAGTGTGAAGAAGAATCGCAAACCTTACTTAATAGGATTTTATAGAAAAAGGAAGACTGCTGACCCTGGGGATGTGATAAGAGTTGCTGTGGCTGGAAAGACCAATAAAGCAGTTGTCATTGGCACAAGGAAAACAAAGCATCACACAATTCCAAGATATGACAACAACTGTATTGTACTTGTGGATGACAACCTTGCCCCCCTTGGAACACGAGTAAAAGCACCAATTCCAACAATTTTAAGAAAGAGACAAGAAAAATTGTCAAAAGTGCTGGCTCTTGCCACAAGATTTATTTGATGCTGTAAACATGAGTGTGTTAATATTAAAAGTTTGTTCTTGGTAAAGGAAGCTGGTACAAGTATTAGTTCTTTGTAAAACATGCCAAAAAACATGGCTATGGCCTTTTTTTAAAAGAGATGATAATCTTGGCACCCACTAGGGAATACTCAATGCTCAACATAAGGGTGTAATTCACTGATTTCTTCAAGGTGAATAAGTCACATTTTATGGCTATAAATGTATTTTTTTAATTTTGCATAGAGGGAGAAAATAAACCCCCATTTTATGTAAGAAAAAGATGGAACAGCCTGTTTTCGAACTTGTGTCTAAATGTTCCCACTGCACAGTATTACTTTCAAAGGCTAGAAAATATTGTTCACAAACATATAAACTCCAAAGTAGCCTGTTTATTCAATTCAAGTTACATCTTTTAAATGATACTTAATGAAGCATAAAACCAGTATAAACCACTAATCAGCGAACAATTATGAGTTTAGACATTACTAGGTTACAATATTACAACATTGAAAAAAAACCATATATCAAGAGGAAAGGTTCACATTTAATAATGCCAACAGATGTTCACTCCATTCCAGGTCTTTGCCTTGTTCTTGAACATCAATCACCTTTCTGCTTCGCCATTTGGAATCTCACACAGATGAAAGGAAGAGTAAAGCATGTTCCTAGATAGAGGATCATGGTTGCCAGAAGCCTAGGCTTGTTCTTTACTTGGAAAGGCATATTCTAGAAACATGAATAATGACAAACTGCATATCACAATACAAGTACTCAGTCATTAGTATGGGTTATAGTTTGGTGGTGCTATCCTACACCACTATTTACTTTGAGCGATGGACTCTTGAAAACTGGTTTACTAACTTACAACAGACTCCCTTCAACAGGTGTCAACTATTAATGACACTACACAAACAACTTATTCGCAACACTGACATCACAAACAAGTTGAACAGAATAACCTAACTTTACCAAATGATCATATCTACTACCAACAACATAACAACTAAACTACACTCACCTAGATGATCTGACTCCACTATCATATTCTTACAAGTGAAAACCCTAGAGTAGTTAACCCTTTAACTCCCATGAGTGACCAAGACAAAATTTCTCCTGACAATATCAATACAATATCAACCAGATAAGGGATGAGAATAAAGAAAAATATCAATTTGGGAATAAGTTGATCCAATACTAAATTCTCTGAACTAACATTACAAGAATTGTATGGTTGAGGGTAAGGAGATTACAAATTTAATCTGAGAGTTAAAGGGTTAATTAACTGTGTAGGTGAATATATCAGTGCGTCTCTCATTTATTTCATTCCTTTGGGAACACAATTGAGTCAATCACTCCGATATGATATGACTTAAATCGGTTCAAAGTCATTACGAAGAAAACCTCCGTAGCGCTTGGTTAATCGTCGGTAACATCGACTGATCTTCAACCCAGATCAGCTTCAGTAAATATCAATTGAAAAGCTAAAATATCAGGATTTCACGCAAGAATCCGGCGTTAAGAAGAAGTGGCGTCTGGGTGTAAAACAACTTAAAAAACATATGAACCACAAAAACTAAAATTTGGAAGAAGACTGTTATGAATAGCACCACTGTTACAACTATATCAACGTTGATCACAATATAAGCTCGAGTTACACATCCGTCGAAATTTTGTAGTTCAATGATAGGAAAACGAATTAAATTACTCACAAGAGGCTACATTATAATTACAATTATGGCATACTCACATCTCCTGGTGCATTCGAAAAGTCTCCACGGTAACGCTGTAAAGCCGTACAGCGCGTACGGATGGCAGATCGGCCAAGCACAGTCAAAGTTCTCCCGGCAAACGACATCTTTGTAGATTGTGAGACAGCGCTACAATGCGCATGTATTCACAGAGCGTGCCTAGCAGCAGTAAACGCTGGCCTGAGCCGATTCAAGATGGCTGCCTGATAGACGGACGCGATTTCCTCTTGAAATTTCCCGTCTTCTTTAAACCATGGTAGGTAAAATACTCCTAGATTTGTTTGACGTTCAATTTTGCATGTATCTGTTGCATTTATGAAGTTTTTCCTGAAATACATGTAAATTTGATGCTTATATTCTAGATGTACAATCAATTTGATTTCGATTTTAATGAGCGTAAAAACTTTGTTGACTTATAATTACATATATATATATATAACTTTTATCATGTTCATGAATTAAAGAGGTGAGGTGCTGATGCAAATTTTGAAAGGTAATATAATTATGACAGAGCCAAAGTTTTTGCATGTTTCGGAGTACTGTTTAACCTGCATTGTTAACTTGGAACGTTTCATGTACGTTGATTTGAGAGACTTCCTCATCCATGACACCGTTCTTTTCTTTGTCTAGTCTCAATACAGTGTCTGCTACAAGCAAGAGCAAGGTATTCATTCCTGAGTAGTAGTATGTCATAGTATGTTAAAATTTCTTTAAAATAAAGAGAGAATTGGTAAAGTAAGAGTTATTTAAGTAATATTTTGACTATAATTCTACTCCAATACCCTTAATATTTACAGAATTATGCCTTTTTCTTAAATTGAAATAAAAATGTTTAAAGGTGTATGTGCCTGGGGTTTCCTGTTGCATCAGTTATATACTTATAACTCCTGCTTTGGACCTTTTTGTGATCTTATCAAATTTTATCAGCAATCTTAAATAGACATGAAAGGAAACATATTTTAGTGTTATCTGTCTGTGGCTGCCTCCTGTACTTTTCATATTAATCATGAACCTATTTTTTACTTTAGCTGGTAAACACATCCTTTGTTGCACTTGTCATAGTCAATTTTACAATGAATAGGTGTTTTCAAAGAGTTTCCATAATCTTTTAAACAATTCCTTATGATTTAATGGGTAAAATTTTATTAGGTATTTTTTTGGTGAAAACATCTTTTGTTACATTTATCTTGGTCAATTTTACCATGATGGGGTGTTGTTCATGAGTTTTTTATAATCGTTTTTAAAAATTTCTAAGGATTTAATGGATAAGATTTTAGTAGAAAATATTTGTCTGATGTGACTTGACAGTTCTGGTTAATAACAGAATCCAGTTTTTGTTTAGCACCCTCAGAGTAGACTCATGTAATGTGTAACATGGAATTTATTTTTCTCTAGCTCATGAGGACAGTATCTGGACAGTTGCATGGGGAACTAGTGATAAAGATGGAATAGAGAATATTATAAGTGGTGCTGTTGATGATATGGTAAAATGCTGGAGATGGTAAGGAAATGTTCATTGAATGTGTCTTCATTTAACCTGTTCAGAGCTAAATTTTTTTTTTCTAATTTAGGTCTTTGGTCAACAATAATGATTGTTTAATTTTTTTGGTCCATTTTACCCTCCAGAATTGTAAGATTTTTTATCAGAATTAATGTAATTACATGACTGTAACATTTTTCTCATGGGTAAAATTGCTTTAGTTTAATTTAAGAAAATTACCTTGGTTAGCAGAAGACAAAAATGATACTGTTGACATCTCTGATCTCATCAAAAACATTCAAGCAGTTGATAAATTAATCGGATTGCATTGCTTGTGATATTTTTCAAAGGTCTAAAACTGACCTTGATATGAAATGAATTTGTTTTGTTTACCAAGTAAATAAACTCCGCATCTGTAAAATTATCATGCAGCAGTAAAGGTACCAATTGTTTGACACTGATAATACTGATGTTAAATTGTGTTTTTAGGAATGAAGAAAAGCTGGAACCTAGATTTAATTTTGAAGGTCATCAACTTGGTGTGGTGTCAGTGGATATTAATTTAACTGGGACAAGTATCCTAAATCAATACTACAGTAGCTTCAACTTATGTAAATAACAACCTTGTGTCTTGATATTCTAAGGAAGGTTTTAGGATTTTTCATCTCAATAGAAAATAGTTGCAATTATTATTATTATTTATTATAATATTTATTATTAGCCATTTATTGAGTCAAATCAACTCATCAGTGAACTGAGGTTTAAAACTTGGAACATGTATTAGTATTCTCACAAGTTTTTGTTTCTTATCATGTGATCTGTAAGCTCTTTTTCTACTTGGAAGGTAGAATCTGATATCAATTACTGGTTACATAATAGGTGGGGCCTGCAATCTTAAGAAGTGGAAATCAAGCAATATTTTTGCTTACCACTTGTCTGTCATTCAATGCACTTCTTAGTGCACTCTTACTCCAAAGGGTAAAAAATCCCCAGCTTGGATACCTTAACCCTTTATACCATGACATCTTAACCCTTTCACTCCCACAAGTGACCAAGACAGAATTTCTCCTTACAATATCAATACAATATCAAGCAGGCAGGTGATGAGAATAGAGAAGGATATCAATTATGGGATTATTAGTTGATCCAATACCAAATTCTCTGAACTAACATCATAAGAATTGTATGGCAGATAGTAAGGAGAATTACTAATTAGATCTTGGGAGTGAAAGGGTTAATATATATTCTCCATACTGTTTTCTATACATTTCCAAAGGTGCTGATAAGAAGAATTTGTTTAACAATCAAGAGCCTCTTGAGTTGGTGATCATTACCTTTATTCTCGTGACCTTCAAGTTTGATTGAGGGGTGATTTTGTAAGGAGGCATTAGATGCTAGTCATTTTTAGAGGTCAATACCCTGAAAGGCCTCTTTCTGTAGTACTGTAGAGTTTTTTGCATGTATGTTATTCTCTAAATGACTGAGGATTTTGCCATGCTAAAATGTCTAAGAGCATGTCTAAGAGCTGATTGATAGACTGCTGAAATTGACAAATCCTTGACGAGAGTACCAACTGATAGTTGCTGCATCAAGTTCATTAGACAGTCATATCAGAATATGGGATTTAGAATCTGGGAAACAACTGAAAGCCATTGATTGTGGTCCAGGTACAATGCTGCAACCTTCTTTGTGTTAACTTTAAGTTCTGTACATGATGGTCATATCTTCAAATCACACACTTAGTCCGACTTTATGTAATAGAGAGAATGACTGATGATCCCTCCTACTTTGCTGCCACATTAGTTAAGTAAGATAAGGCTTGCCATATAATTGGTGGATGTATAAGGGGTAATAGGTAAAAGAGCTTGGCTATCAGTTTAAGCTTAAGCCAATTGCACTTGATAAATTTTCTGTTACTGATTTAGGAAGTATTTAAAATATTTTGAAGTGAGAAGGTTGGAACCCAAGGTCTAATAACTTGTGTTTTTGGTCAAAAAACAGTATTTTGTGAGTAAATCATTGTTTATTTCATCACAGTGAAAATTATATTTTATGAGCTATCAGTCTTTCATATGGAGGTTTAGTTTGAGTGTTTTAATTTAACCAAAACCACAACACAAGTGATCATAAACTAGTAATGGCCCATGGCAATGAAAAAGGACAATGCAAGGCACCTTGGAGAGGTTGAAAAGAAAACAAGCATATTGCACAAAGGCACAATTGGTTGATAGTTTACATTTGATTGGTCATGAGGGCAGCACAAATTTTTGATAAAAAACCATTTCCAAAGAGAAGTTGATGAAATTAATTTCAATCAATCACAACTCAATAGGGAATTTTTCCTTTCTGCAATCAATAGCAAATTAAAGGATAAGATTTAATGTTATTTTTTCCTTCACAGTGGACACATGGACAGTGGCATTTTCTCCAGACTCTAAACTTATAGCAACTGGCAGCCATGCTGGAAAAATAAACTTGATAGGTGTGGAAAGTGGTAAAAAAGAAAGTGCCCTGGATACAAGAGGAAAATTCACCATGAGCATAGCTTATGTATGTTAGTCATACAGATCCTATTAAAATTGTGCTTTTTGTGCTCAAATCTATATCTAGTCTATTCCAAAACTTTGCCTATTAAGTTTTCTGTCTAATTAGTTATTCCAATACATTATTTCCGAGTCTGCCTGTAAGCAAGAAGTGTTCTTTAAAACTGTAGTTCCTGGAATGCCAGTGGACATTCCAATGGATATATTATCCTACTATAACATAGTAACGATTTTGCAAACTAGTATAGTAAATAATGATACTACTATGAACAAATAGTAGAGATAAATAAATGATGATGATGATAATAATAATTGTAATAATAATTACCATCATTTTATTATCACTGTTACTTATATTGAAATTGTTATTACAGACATATTTTGATTATTTGTTTTCCTATATTTAATTTCAGAGTCCTGATGGTCACTACATAGCTTGTGGAGCCATCGATGGAATAATCAATATTTTCGACCTTACAACTGGAAAATTACTTCACACTCTAGAAGGTTAGAAATTGAAATGAATTCTTCTTAATAGTCCTCCAACCACTTCAGCAGCGATTTCACATTTTTTCATCAATCTTTCAGGTCATGCCATGCCCATCAGATCTTTGACATTTTCACCTGACTCCCAGCTGTTGATCACAGCTTCAGATGACAATCATATCAAGATGTATGATGTGTACCATTCAAGACTCCTTCTTCCTTGTCATTTATTACTGATTCACATACTAGGCTCTGCTTTTTGAGCAAGATTTTGCAGATTTATTTCAGCTGCGGGATGAAGATATACATGCATGTACATGTACTTGTACATCTACATGTACATGTACATGTACATATACCTGTACATATACATGCATGTGCATGTACTTGTTGCACCCTTAAAATATTATGCTTTAGCTACTCATTGCAGGATTGGTTGGTGGTTGTAAAAGATATTGTCATTTTGTTTATATCGTTTCCATGTCAATGCTTAGATCTGGATGACTCTTTGTGTCCTCTTTTCTTTGTTTTTTGTCTGTTTGTATGTTTTGGTAATTTCACGTTCTACAGACAACATGCTAATTTAGCCGGGACTCTGTCAGGACATGGCTCATG